CCTTGAATATCCAGAAATAAACCAGCAGGATCATATAGTATTTTCAATTCTTAATTTTTTGAGGAATCTCTATATCATTTTGCATGGTGTCTGAACCAATTTACATTCTTATCAATGATACACATAGGGTCTCTTCATATTCTGGCCAATATTTGTTGTTTCTTGTCTTTTTGATAATAGGCACTCCAGTAAGTGTGAGGTAATATATCATTGTTCCAATTTGCATTTCCCTAATAGTAAACAACGATGAACATCTTTTACCTGTATTGGTCATTATCTTTGGAAAATTGCCTATTCAGCAACTATGTCCACTTTTAATTTGAGCTGTTCTGTTGTTGAATTGTATTAGTTCATCACATATTTTGAATATTAACCCTCTGTTGGATGTGATATTCCCAGATATCTTCCCCCATTCAGTAAGCTGTCTTTTTGTTTTGATAATATCTTTCACTATGCTTTTTAGTTTGATTTATATCTGTTATTCTTTTTGCTTATTTCCCTTGCTGTTGGAGAATTCACAAAGATATTGTCAAGGAACTTATTACCATCAATATTTTCTTCCAGCATTCTCTGGTTTCAGGTTTACATTCAAAGCATTTCCTGCTTGCAATTAATTTTTGTATATGGTGTAAATTATTGGTGGTGTTTCATTCTGTTGCATGTGACCAGTCACTTTTCACAACACCATTTTTTGAAGACTTTCCTTTCTCCATTATACTGCTAGTTGTCCATATATGTGTAGGTTTATTTCTGGCTTTTCAATTCTATTACTTTGATCCATGTGTCTGTTTTTATTTCAATACTATACTGTTTTGATTACTATTACTTGGTAGTCTAGTCTTAAGTTGGTTTTTGTTCTTTTTGGGAACAAAGTAGCTTTTGGCATCCTTTGTGGTTCTATACAAATTTTAGGATTTTTTTGGTTCTATTTCTGTGAAAAATGCCACTGAAGTTTTGGTAGGGATTATATGAATCTACAGATTTGGACTGTAGTTCATATTTTTTTATTCCTTGGGACACACTGGCTAGCAACACAGTTGTAGGAAAACTTCATTTTGGATACAGTTCTTTTTTCCCTACACTATTCCCTCCTCTCTCAGAACTGAAATGAGGTTTGGACTTCTTTCTTACTCCAGAGGACTTCTCAGTTATTACTTAGATATCATCATTTCTCAGATATCATCTCTGACCCTTCCTATTCTCATCGATTTCCAAGACCATAGGCTATAGCCCAAGTTTCCATCTTTCCCCACAAGCCCCAATTTCTTCTCACTTAGAAGGAACCCGGCTGACCATATATAAGTCACCTAATTGGCACACAGATTATCACTAGCCATAAATATTCTTTTCCACACCTGGAAACCTCACTACCTGTTTTTATAGAGCTATATTGGCTATTATGATTAGGGCATGGTGATCCAGGAACTATAATCTAGACATAAAATATTTTGGACTTAAAAGACTCAGTCTTTAAGCCACTAAGTTCTGCACTTAGTGAGACTGTCATTCAGAAGAAATTCATATCCAGAGATCTCTAGGCATTCATTGGCTATGTCCATATCTAGACAATTTTTAAAGACAGTTGACATCTTTCCCTTGCATGGAAATAAAGTACGGGTAGCCTTGCTTATACTCAGAGGCATTTTTCAGCACAGATAAAATTCCAGGACAATAAAGATTTTTATATCTGATTTAAGTTCCTTTGTGCAAACAAGCTTGCATAGCAAAATGGTACAGATAAACAGATAAAAAATGACTTTATACAAATAAATCAAACTATTATGTTTCTCTAGTATAAAAATAGATCAAATGGTAAGAGAATAAAAATAGGTGGAATGGTAACATAAACTGACTTGTGTAATCAAAGGGTCAGCATTGACATTTTTCTCTCTAGATCTTTTTTAGGAGTTTTGTTGCTAAGGCTACAGTGTTTTCACCAGATTGGAACAGGAGTGTCAACTCTAATGGGATTCAGTAGCTTTCCCAACTAGATTTTTTTTAAAACATAAATACTAGTTAAAATTGTTGACTTTCAAAGGCATGTTCATGAAGAATGATCTCTAAAGATTTTTTTTTAAAGATTTTTTTTTTAATATATATTTTTTAAGATTTATTTACTTACTTATGCAAGCACTGGGTACAGTCAGAAGTGCAGGAGGGTGAGAGAATTCACCAGAGCCAGAGCAGGGAGCAGAACAGACAGACTGAAGTACACTGCTGAGGGGAGCAGCGTGCGGCAGGAGAGGTCTGCGCGCCATGTGGGACCCTCGCAGGTAGCCGGGGATCGAACCAGTGCTGCAGAGGCTGTGGGCAGCTTCGCAGCCCAGTGCTCAACCGCTGCACCACCAGGGAGGCCCTCTAAAGATTCTTTTTAGACTATTTAACTAGTTAAATCTGTAATATAGTAGACATGTTCTATTCCATAATTATCCCAACACAAACTTTTACTATGATTATAATGTATAAAAAACCTAATTTCATACATTTAATGCAAAATTTGTAAGTCAATAATTAATTCCCAGGCCTCCCTAGTGGCACAAGGGGCACAGCACTATATCTATCAGCAGCCTCTGCATCATGATTCCGGCTGGCCGGCCAGGAAGCTACCCACATGGCACAGACCACCTCTCCTATCGTGCCTGCTGCTCCCCTCAGCAGTGTATTTCAGTCTGCATGTTGTTCCCCACTGTTTCTGGTGAATTCTCTCACTGCTCCCTTCTCACCTCTGGCCTGTACTTCAGTTCCTGTTTGCATAAACAATCTGGAAAAAAAAATTCCCAAAAGAGTAGCTGAGGTTGCTGCTTAAAAACAATTCTGATTAGTTGGAAACTATGGTTCACTCACTAGTGCCACTAATTCACAAATGATTTGTTCTTTGAATAATAAATAGGATAATGCCCTGTCTTTTGGTTCCTTCATAAATTGGACAAAGTTATCTGAGGAAAAACATAAAGTCAGCCATCTAAAGAAACACGGTCAAATTCATAAAGCATGGTAAATGAGAACAGTTTGTCCTAGACATTAATTGCTAAAAGGGTCTAAAAGGAAAGAGCCATCAGGAAAAGGATGAACAGTTCTTTCCGTGTGCTAGTAGGGGCATTAGATGAGCTTCCCTGGCTACAGATTTTAAAAAACAGTGCAATTTGTATGTCCTTTGCCCATGCAATTCTACTTTTGCCTTAAGATATGAGAATTAAGTAACGCATGTGAAGTGCCGTTCAACTAACAGATGCTATTTTTCCCCTTTGATGTCTTTATATTTTTATAGCCAGAAATCCCAATGTAAATTTCAAAAAAAAAAAACCTAGTCTAATTTAGAGTCAAAAGAAATGCAACTTAATTTGAATATTACAGCATTAGTGACATCTGGTGGAAGACACAGACATTGCAAGGTAGTTTGGATAGCTATTCTTATCTTTTGAACATAAATGAGGATAAAGTTTACAGACTAAATGAAAAAAAAAAAGATAGAGCAAGAAATTAAAGTATGTAGATACCGATCTTATTGTGCCAATATTTTTGGTCTATATTCTAAAATAGAGTAATATAGTAAACTTAAATGCATTCTAGTAACAAAAACATTCAGCATATGTGCATACTTAATAATTAAAAACAGAATTAAGAGTCTTTTTTTTTTTTTTGTGGGACCCTCGCCGGTGGTCGGGGATAAAAGTGGCGCTGCAGAGGCTGTGGGCAGCCTCACAATCCAGTGCTCAACTGCTGTGCCACCAGGGGAGGCCCTAGAATTAAGAGTCTTAATTCTTTTCTGAGTCTTGTTTCATATATCATATGCTAAAGTAACTTCCTTCCCAAGTTTTCTGAGCAAAATTCACCGTGGGATATTCTGAGGTTAGTATCTCAAAGAAATATCCAGTGGTGTTTCAGAGAATATGGGATTGAGATAAAGACTTCCACTTTGAGATACTCTAAGGGAGGTAACAGCTGTTTTAAAATGAGCTTTAAGTAAGACAAAATCAAATGCTCAGAGCTAGGGAGAGGCTTAATCTATTAAAGGACATGCAAACTACAACTCTTTGGCTACATAAAACTTGCCCTCTGGTTTCTGTTACTAGAACATTGTCATGATCATTTATCTACCTATTTATCTACCTATTATCTAAGGTAGCTTTCAAGATCCTTGTATGGTCTTGAGTAGGTGCAAGAGACCATCTGCCTGCTAAATTATTATCAGGACACTTACACAAAAGGTTTGTCAATTTCGAGTCTACTGGATTACTTCAATGGATTTTTTACACAACCATCTACTCCCTGTCCCACTTAACATTGACTTAGTCATAAAACTTGCCTTAGTTACTATAAAGAGCAATGCCCAGATATGAGTTTCTGAGGCTCAGTGCCATGGCTAGCCACTTCAAAACAGAAACATGTGGTCTGCAGACTTGCATGAGAATGAGATAAGCACCCCAGATGACCTGCAGGCTTGCAGGAGGAAAAAAATGCTTATCATTATTCTATGGTTGCTTGCTATGCAGCAAAAACTAATTGATACATGAGATTGTTATACCTTGTGACTTCTCCAACTGATGACACTGGGAAAGCATTCTGAAGACCAGCTGTAGTTCAGTCCCTTCTGGGGCTCTATTTCAGACTTTGTTGGACTCAACTGGAACATGTTTTCATTCCTCTACCTATGGTAAGGAAAACTGAGTCAGAGTCCAGACCAGGTCTAGAGGCCCACCAGACTCTTGGAATTTTGGTTTTTCTGAATTTAACATGATGTGGAAGTCAGTTATAAATGCTTTATCTGTTGGATTAAATCGCTCCCTCCTAAGGTTCATCAAGAAGATGGAAAAGACCACTTGGAATCATAGGCCAAAGCTTTTTAAACTGAGCTTGACAAATAGAGGTCAGTTTGCCCCTTACTTGACTCCTGATACGCATATTCTTAATTGCATGTAATCTGTAAGGGGTAAAAAGATCATGACTAGCACCTCAGAAACCTCATTACAATAAACAGTAATATGCAAATGATGCAGAAGTCTAATCTAACCCTATTAACTTTATTGGTTTGGATAAACTTATCAAGTATTTTAAAATTCTATTGCATAGAATTATTTGTCTTACATCCCAAACTGTTAACACAAAGCTCTTGCTTGTCACGGTTCTTTAAACAATCAAGCTGAAATATTTAGATAGATCACTGGGAATATTAGTGGTACAATTAACATGAAGATAAGCAGGGTCAAAAATTTTGTCACTGAGAACCCTAAAAGGTGCACTTATTCTCTAGTTTTTAGCCTTTCATTACTTATGCAGTTAACAGTGTTTCATTAAATTTTTTGGTAAATCAGTTTTTATTCTTCGCAAATAAACAAGAGTATAACTAATGTATTATAGAACTGGTACCAGATTAAGCTGTAGACAACAAATTATATGGCATAAGTTTTTCTACTATTGAAATTGATATTTTGGACATATAAAGGAGTTTTGGACATTTAAAGAAGTCAGTACCATAAGAAATCAATCACAATTAAAAGTAATATTATGATTAATTTGACAAAGTCATAGATGAGAGATTTAAGTATTAACAATAATATATGAGAATATTGCAAGTTGGGAGTTTTGGGGGAGGAGGGTATAACGACCACATTTTATTTTTCCCACTGTTTATTAAAGAGGCATTCAAAATTTCCTGAAACAATCACTGCTGCTATAAATTTTCAAACATGCTTCCTAAAAATAGGTCCAGAATTGTCAACTCTATACTTTTACTGCAGCTCCATTTCTGCTGCTTTCCTTCTCAAGTCATATTTCCTATGTTAAAAGGTTATGTACTGCAGAATTCAAATACATTAATCTTTATAGTGTCTACTTTGTAACAGATCTCATGCTGTTTGGAAATGCAGAAACTCTTTTTAATATATCTAATACAAGATTATTCCCATTTCTGCATACTGCTCTTTTTATTCAGAAAAAATTTGTAGGTGACCTCACTTCGTTTCAACAACTCTTTATGGAAAGGGTATCCACAACAGCATTCATTATACCCACCATGACACACTGCATAGAATTGTTCAGCACTGAAAAGGATAAGAATGTAAGACACTGCCCTTTATTGTTATAATCTCATAATTGGATCAAGAAATTAAGTTATCCAGGGAAAATAATACAAACAAATAATGAAGACAACCTGTTTGGTTATATCAATGCCTTTTGCCACATATTTTCCTCTGCTTCCTAAGAGCTCAAGTTTCACAAGTGCCAGGACTTTGCTCCATCCATCCTGGCACTTAGTAAAATATTCTGCACATTAATAGATGCAGAACAGGTAGATAGCAACTTTCGAACAAATGGATACAGACTATACATATTTACTTAGAGGTGAAGATTAGACAAAAAAACATATATAAAGAAAATGGCATCTTATTCTAGTCTCTTAATAAACAGAATTATTACAAAATGGTAAGATTTAGGATAGAGATTAGAAAACAGTTGCTATTAGTTTCCTTTAAACTGACTTTGGTAAAACAGAAAGAACATAACTAATGAGTCTATTAATGAAGGTATAGGCGTAGGACTAAGCATGGTACACATATAAAAAGCCAAACCAACAGGCTAAGAGTATAAAGACTATACAATCCAACATTTTCCAACCCAAGTTCCAAAAGACATTTATCACTGTATACGAATAATAATGCTCATTTAAGGTCTACCATTATCAAGAGGGTAAAAGCAAAACCTAGCCATTAAATTCAAAGTCCCTAAGGATTAGTAACTTAGGTCCTACCACTTTTAAGGTACAAGAAATCATTAGTGATACCGAATCCATTCTAACTATGGTTTAATTGTATTAACACCACACCAGTATAAAAATATTTCAAGACATACTTAAACTATACACAGTTAGCTTTATTAATCATTCAAAGCTTGATTTTATAAAACATAAAGACATTGTAAAAGTTCTAAACCACAGGAATTTAAACAGTAGAAAAACCCATAGCTCTGTAGGTTCAATTTATATAAATTAAAAATAATTATAAATTTTTTTCAATATGGGAACTATGCAAATAAATCATAAAGGAGCTATAAGATCAAGGTTGTATTACTTATGGATTATCATTAGTTACTTTCAGGGTCTAAACAAATATTCTGAATATTCAGACTTCTTTTGCTGTATTTTACACATTTAAATATTTCCCTACCTAAGTTCTAAGACAAGTTACTTGACCAAGGGGTCTGATTAAAGATGGCATTGAGCTTAATGGCCAACGTTTTTACATTTATAGTTACCACCTTTAAGGGAACCAACATCCCAACGCTGACATAATCTCCCTTTTGAGAAACGTGCAATAAATCCATTATATCAACCCTACAGATAACAGGTACCAAAAAATGGGAGATTACGCACAGTTCAGGAAAGAATCAGTTTTCCCATCAAAAAACTAACCAATGAAATAAAACACATCAACTACTGTTGACTTGGTTTCAGGAAAACCCTATCGTTGAGAATTACAAATATGTTATTGTCCTTATCCTCAGTCATTAACAGGAATTTTGTAGGCCACCATGCTATTTACTTTGTGGATTGTAGTAGTAAATGAACGAAGGCGGACTTCCTCAGAATTGGTAATGAACTGTGGTCCAGATTCTTCCCATTTTTCAGGAACAACCAAATCTTTGTCTGTATAAATCAGCAGATCAAATGAACCTAAATCGGAGATAAGATCATCAGTACATTATATTTTCCAAAAGTAAAAATACTGTTCCTGCCTCATTCACATTTTGAACGATCCACACTTTAGTACAGAAAAGATGGCACTCCTGTCACATTATTCATGAAAAATTCAAGTTTTTTTTAAAAGCAAAAACCAACTATTTGCAGAATGTGTATAATCACATGGCACAGCATCAATGTAAGTCACAGGAGAGCTAATATCTTGGTTCCTAAAACCCTGTAATAAGTGCCCAGAATGGTGTCTGACATTAGCAAGTATTTGGGAAATGTACTGTAGAATATTTTCATTCCTTTTCAGCATCTCCAAACTTTTTTGAATGCATACAATATTACCTTTGCTTTACAATGCCTCTCTGCTCCCTCCTTATATTACATGTTACTTTGTCTATTCCACAACAAATTTAGGTAAGTGCAATGCTCTGTGATACTCACAAGAAACTTCCAAGAGTGGCAGAAATGTCACTGTAGCTGTGATCTGTCTGATTACTGAACGGATTTCATCTTGGATAGCTTTCTGAGACTTTTCTCTGGGAGCACTATCAAAGAAACCAAGTAAGTCAATTCATATTAGGTTTGAATAAGTTCTTTAAAACACTGGTAAAATTATCTAATTAAATGATTCTAAAATCAAATGAACTGTTCATTAAAGTTTTTTTTTAAAAGATGAGTATAAATATATTCTTAGGACCTAGAACCTAGAAGGTGTAATATGTATATTATGATTCATTTCCTTTAATCTTCCAAACAGCTTTTAGGGTTGTCTTCCTATCAAGTCACTTAATATCATATCAGTAGATAATTTGCCAACTGCTTCAAGTTAGTAAAACATCAACATCCCTTAAAAATTAGTATCTAAAATATTTAATTGTTATAAACATTGTGGCATTAGTAATGGCTAAACATATCAATTCCCAAGTGCCTCAAATAAGGTCTTAAAATTGTATGTAAATTATTTTTATCAATTAAAAATGTCCCAAAATAGACTTAAGGTTTCAGAAGCAAACTAGGTTTCATTTTGAGAAATTGACCTGAACTTATATTAAGCCTAGGACAATGCTAGATTTTAACATATAGTGATGGGCATTTCCCATGCAGGGGATCTGGAAAGTTCAGTTTATCAAGTGTCTTAGGAAAGCTGTGGCTTTTAAAGGAAGTACAGTAGAGGTACATGTTAAGCTGTAAAGTCTAGGCTCACTCCTGATGGTTAAAAGTATCTTTAGAGTTCATAAATGCATAAATGTTCCATTTTGTACACCATGTTTAGTTTTGTATATACCACCATAAATAGTAGTTCGAAATTCAATGATTTAAGCTAAAGGTCATTACGTTAAAAATACACTATCTTTACAAATAATACGCTAAAGTGAGCACAAATATTTTCCATAGAAGTCTGAAGATCAAATTGAATGTATCTCAGAAACAAATTATACCTTATATAAAATTATTCAACATAATTAGAAATCATTCAATAAAGGAAAAAAAAGGTTTGAAAAAATACATAAAAGAGGAAATGATTTAATTCATATTTACCCATCATCTTTTGCAGTCTTGTCACACTCAATATCAAATTGCCATCTTTCCAGGACCTCACCACTTTCAATATTTGAGATGACTACTACCAGTTTCTGAACTGAACACTTGTATAACCAATCTGCAACACATAATAAGGCAACTTTTTGGTCACTGCATTATAAAGCAACTCTCCTCCCAAGTGCTGCTTACTAATAACACTGCTATTTTGAACCTATTTCAACCCACACAGCAAATTTGTCCCAGAAATAACCTAGCGCTGTTTTCAAATCCTCAGTTTTTATAGGAGCCATATTACTGGGTATTGAGGAGAGTAGTAAACATGTGTTACTTCATGTTAATTCAACGAAAAAGTGTAGTAGATGAGCATTAATGTTATCACCAATATATGTGAAATTACAATTGTAGTAACTGCTCTGAAATAAATATATGATGCAATGAGAGCATAAAAGAGAGAAATATGGTTGACTGAGGCAAAGTGTGAGTTTAGCTCTTAGAATTAAATTCACTAAATATGCTAGGGATAGGGAAGAAGGTACACATTGATCTTCAATATTCAAAAGGGAAGAGCATCTGATCATAAGACTGGGGGAAAAGGAATGCAACTGTAGTTAATAAAGGGAGAATATGAGTGTGGTATGGGAACATATATCTAAGGAGGTGTGATCCTAAGCCTCTGAATCACATATATTTTCATAAACAAACGTTACCTCAATAATAATAAAAAAAAAAATTCGATGTCTAATCAAGGCCAGTAAAAATAATTTTTATGTATAATTGGGGGAAAAAAGTAAGAATAAACAAGTCTGGAAATATTGGAGGGGCCAGACCACACAAGGTCAAATTAAAGAAATTGTACTCTAAGCACCAGTGAAACCATTACTGTTTCAAGCACAAATAATTAATTTGTATTTTGAAACTATTTTTGCTGTGATGTGAAAAGTGAGCTGGGGATCTAGGGATGCTAGTTAATTAGTAACTCAAGGAAGAGGCAAAGAATTGTAGAATAAACTGGTAGAGATGGAGCAAACAAATTCAAGAGACTTCACAGTTAAAACTTTAAATTGGATTACCTATGGGACTAAGTAAGTGAAATTTGTCAGGAATTGCTCTCAATTTTCTGGCATATATAATCAGAGGGTTGTTATAGTCACTGAAAGGGAAGAGAAATGAAAGGGAGATGATTTTAAATTTAGGTAATGAGTTTGAAGTATCTTTGGAGTAACCAAAGATGAAGAAATATAGAAATAAAAAAAGAAAGGGATTTTAATATGAGTCTAGAGTTTGGAGAGACTCAGATTATGTTTGTGAGTAAACTACACAAAGGCAATTAGTGAAGTTGTGTACATAACAGAAATGATCTACAGAGATTATAATGAGAAGATTATAATCAGAAGACTCACTTAGAGTGAGTCCTGAATTAATCTGGGAAAATGGGATTATATATTCAGTAATCAGCATTTTTTTTTATAGAGACAAATAATAGTAAAAATAAAGTTTAGTAATACTTAAAGTTTATGGACTACCCAGGTCTATTAACAATTCTTTAAAATGTAAAACTAGTCCTAGCTTACAAGAAATACAAAAACAGGCCACTTGATGGATTTGGCCTGTTGGTCTTGCTCATCCCTGGCATACATTGATAAATCCCTACTAGCTTAGCTCTGAAAAGCAGGAGATTGTCAGGTAATTTGAGAATTGCAAGGTAATTTGAGAATTTCAGTTAGGCAATTAATTTTTTTTTAAATTGGAAAGAGAAGAAACCAATGGGAATATTCAAATCAGAAGACGTTGAAAATGTGAAAAGGATTAAGATAAAGTCCCTAATAAGATTAGAGGGATGTGATTTGCCTTCAAGAAGAGAAATCCCTCCATTTTTAACTAAAATAAAAAGAGAAGTATAATAAGAAGGTCTAGATACATCTGAAATGTCATTGATGTGGTCTCAGAAGACAATCCCAGAAGCATTAGCTTAGGAAAGGCTTGCTTCCCCATCAAGTTAAGATATATATCCACTGTTGCCTAAGAGGTTCTAGGCCAAGTAATCTGAGTGTGGCTAAAAGATGATGGGTGATGCAGGCCTGAAATTAATAAAAATACAATGACTCTAATTTTAAAAGGAAGAATTCAAACAAAAAGATTTGTTAACTTACAAAAAAGAAGATGGCTACTGCACTGTATTTTGGAAAATAAAATTGAGAGAGGAAAATAGACCACACAGAAAAATTAGGAGAATCCTTGAGAGAAACATAAAAGGAAATTTATAAGAAGAACAATTTCTTGAGGCAAAAAAAAAGTATTTAGATAGACTAGAAAGAGCTTACTTTTAATTATAAGTAGTATTTTTAAAAAATAGTGAAATGGGTAGAAATAAGTGAAAAACAGGAAAACTAGTGGTGCTGTTACTTAGTACTCAAAGTTTTTTATGTTTAGTTCCCAAATCAAATAGTTTTATTTTCAATGATTTTAATAGAAAGACGACAGCAAGGTTATAGCAAATCCCTTAAAAAAGATTAAAGTGGATTTTTCTCAGATAATCAGCACCATCACAGTTATGTAAAATTCCAACTAGTTCTGTTTGGCTTCATGAACTACAAAAGTCATTTCCAAATGACTTTTGGAACTGCTAGACTGTTTTGATATGGCATATCATATTCCTAACACCATTCCTAACATCCTCACTCAAAACGTGGAAGGGGAAGGGTGGAATTTCTTTCACTTATATATTACTTTCTTCCTTCCAACTGCAAGTTACTGTATTTGAGACACCAGTGTTTTACTTTACTATATTCAGAGCTGAAAAATAATGAAGAGGTCACAAATGTGGACCCAGGAAGGCCTCCCAAACTCAAACTACTGCCAGCAATTAAGTACCTTTCAGTTGTTCCACCACATTATTTAGGTATTTTATGAGCTCAGGATCAGTGGTTACAAGCAAGGTGAGTCCGTATTTCTGCACTCGAGTAAAGGTTTCAGAAGGATATATGCCTCGCTGATATAAAATGCTGTTGATGCCAAATGCTGAAAACAAGAAATGTCAAAGAAAAGCCATTACCACTGTGTAAATGGGTAAAACAAAACATATTTATATGTGGCTATGGTTTCATTAATGTTATGAACTGAACCTGTCTAAACACAAATGTTTTTTGCTTGGAGCCCGGTGAAATCTCAGCAGGTACCAACTAGTCTTAAAAATCTTGCTTCTCAGTAAGAAAGCAAGTGACATCTGAATTTATGTGGCAGCAAGTGAAAAATGACCCACTGCATTCATCTGCCGATGCCAAATTTCATCTCTTTGTAATCCAAGTCGAAATTCAGATTCTATGGTTGGAGGAAGTCAAAACGGGCTTTCGCATCCAAGTTAGCAACTGACTGACTGAAGTGAAAATATATTATTGAGCAAATGAATATAATAACGATTCCAGCAGAACTTCCAACCCAGGTGCAATGAACACTCCGATGCAGGCATAAATAAGTTTGCTTACAGCTCCTTCCCTTTCAAGATTCACAGCCAGGGCCTCCGCACTCTTCTCTACAAGGTGGGGCAGCCAACCAGCTGGTCTGTCTCTCCAAGGCCATGCCCAAATGCCTGCATCTTGCCCCCTTTGCCTTGCCCCCCCTTGCCTGGGGACTTTGCCACAAATGGTTGCGTCTGCTGAAAAATGATGCTATCAATGTAACAGATATGCAGACAGTTGTGTATAAAAGGAACCCTTGGTCTTTAAAGGTGCTCAGACCTCAGAGGGCTCCCCAGGTCTGGGACCTCATGCATGAGTAACAAACCTTCTCCTGCCCTCACCATTCCCGAAGTACCGCTTGTTCTTCCCCTGCCTGGGAAAAAAGCTAGAACTCATTTCTACAACATGACAACCCCCAGGCAATGCTCTTCCTTGGTTCCCTCCTTTCCTCCCAAGTCCTGCTGGGTTCTACCACAAGTGACTGCCGGTCAGTGAAATACCTTTCAGTTGTTCCACCACATTATTTAGCTATTTTATGACCTCGGGATCACTGGTTACAAGCAAGGTATGCTCGATCCAGAATAGCGTTTTCCAAAATCCAGTCCAGGGCGAGGTCCACCTCAGAAATACCTGAGGGCTGGAATAATTCTCTCTGGGCCCCACCTGGGTCGCGCTAAATTCTACGTCACTGTGTGTGTGTGTGGGGGGGGTGGAAGGTAATAGAGGCGGGGTGGGGGGGGGTAATGGGGTTGCACTTTTAAAAAATCGCGCCAGGTGGAGGGAAGGTCTGGCGAGGCGGGCCTCAGCGACACCTGGGCCCCCTCACGAGCACCGAGTCCGGACGCGGCTCTGACGCGCGCGTCCAGACCCCTCGCGCGGGCCGGCGAGGCCGGGGCAGCGGGGCCGGGGCCGCGGGGCCTCCACTCCGGGCCGCGGCGCCCACCCGGCTTCCGGGTTTTCTGAGGCGGCGCCGCGGGGCTAACGGCCGGCCTGGGCTCCGCACTCCCCGCCCGCGGCCTGCGCGAAGAGGACTCACAGAAGAACTCGGCCACGATTTCGGCGCTCCCGCGCAGGGTGATGCCTTGCTCCCGGGTGTGCTGCAGCGCCATGGCCAGGCCCACTGACGACGGCGCGCGCTTGCACCAGTCAGGCGGCGACCGAGGAGGCCTCCCCGCCACTCGTTTCAAAAGTAACGACGTAACACGCCTTGGCGCCCTCCGCGCAGGCGTGACGATTTGCGAAGCCCCGCCCCACGCAGCGGGGCACGCCGGTCTCTCCGCCCCCCCTCCCAACCTCCCGGGGCGCTGGCCTCATGCGCAGGCGCGGGCGCAGGTAGTGGGCGTAGCCACGTCGCGCCGGGTCGCGGGCTCTTGCGCTTGTGCTGCGCGCTTTTGCGCCTTGGCGTCGTGCTCATCCCGCTGGGGTTGACGTGAGGGGTTTTCCACGTTTCCTCCTGAGTCTGAGCGATCAACAGCAAAATTTCTGAGTTTCAAAAATATGTTCGAAGCGTTGTGAAGTGTCCGCCAGCTGCGCCCTCAAGGACGCCAGTGGGGTCAAGTGGACGCGCGAGTTAGTGACGCACCGTGACGCAACCGTGACGCAAGCGCAACTTTCGCGGGCTTCTGCGGGATGTTTGTCCGGAGACATTAGGTCAGAGGCTCAAGGGACCGACCGCGTCCCTAGTCTGACTGGGTTCAGCCCCTTATTCACCACAGCGCCGCCTGGGGCTAGCCTGAGAGCGGTGGAGCTCACTCTGTGGCGACTAGTCAGGAATAAGGTCGCTTCACTAGAGGCCTAAGCATGGAGGGGGTTTCCAGTGGCTTTTGACCCCTCATGCTAGAAGGGCATGCTCTTAGGTGTTTCCACAGAGTCAGTGACTTTTCACGTTACCTTGAGAAATGGTGAGGAGATGGCGCAAGATGAATGTTCACGTCAGTTGTCAAAGGAACTTATGGTTAAAGTCAGCAATGTGCTTCGTAAAAAGAAGTCTGAAAAAGGTCATACCTACGGGACACGCTGTCAGTCATAGGTCCCAGCCACCTTCCCTTTGGTGGTGATGGGATTTGGAGTTCCCAGTGTCTTTTGGCTTTGGTCTGGAGTGGGGGTGGAGTCCACAAAGCCTGTATGGAATTAGCTTTAGGACATCCTTAACCCCTAACAATAGCGCTTGTTGTTCTCGGCCAGTGCACCAAAATGCTGTAGAAATAAATTCTAGGCTTTTACCCAGGCAGAGGGAGAACAAATGGTACTTCCAGGAATGGTGAGGGCAGGAGAAGCTTTGTTACTCATCCATGAGGGCCCAGACCTGGGGAGCCCCGCAAGGTCTGAGCACCCATTTAAAGACCAAGGGTTCCTTTTATACACTGCTGTGTTACATTGATAGCATCATTTTTCAGCAGGCAAAGTCCCCAGACAAGGGTGGGGGGCAAGGCAAGGGGGAAAGATGCAGGCACTTGGGGATGGCGTTGGAGAGACAGACCTGCTTGGCCGGCAGCTTACCTTATAGATAAGAGTGTTGAGGCCCTGGCCTTCAATCTTGAAACAGAAGGATCTGTAAGTAAGCAAACTTGTTGATTATGCCTGCATTGGAATGTCCATTGCACCTGGGCTGGACGTTTTGCTGGAATCTTTATTATATTCATTTGCTCAATAATATATTTTCTCATCAATAGGAGAAATACTTGAGTGTCAATTTTCTGTGGCTGCTTTATAAATTACTAGACGTTAGCGGTAAAACACAACACCCACATGTTAACTCAGTCCTGTAGGAAGCTCAGCTGGGTGCCCTGAGCTCAGCATGGCTCAGCTGGGTGCCCTCCGTAGGTCTCACAGGCATGAAATGAAAGTATCTGCAGTAGGGTCTCTTCTAAGATCTTGGATCTTCTTCCAATCCCCTGCTAGAAGAATTAATGTTACCGTTCTTGTTGACTTTAGGTCCTTACTGACTTTCCTGCTGGTCCGAGGCCAGCTTTGTACCTTCCCCGGTAACCCTTCACTGGTTCTCTCAAATGTGCAGTCTCTGATTTCAGGGACCCCCCACAATCCCCTAAAGTACTCACCTCATAGGTCAGATCCAGTCATAGAATTTTCTTGTTGATAAACCTAACCCCCAAAATAATATCCCCTCCCATATTCACAGATTCTGCTCACACACAACAGGGTGGTGGGTTATGTGCTCTGTGGAGCCAAGGAATTTGGGGGGACCATCTTAGAATTCAGCCTTACACTTTTATGTATCAGATTTTGTCTGTTTGAAGAGTTAAAACCTAAGTATAATAGGTAATTGACTGACTAGGCCCAGGGAAATAAATCACCTTTTATTTTATTTTATTTTTTTAATGTGAAGAACAATGATGTCAAGGAAAGGGAGGCTTAGGGTCTAGGAAAGTGAGGAAAAGGAAATAAATCTTTCACTCCGTCCACCAGGAACTTGGATGAGGGCTACAGTTCTGGTATCACTCTAACAGAACATGATGCCCACATTTCTCCATATGAAAATACCTCTCTTTCTAATGAACTTTATGTTAAAACTCAGCACTTCAGGAAAAACTTCCTTGAGTTTCATACTAATATAGTTCGTAAATTATTTAAAGATGCCAATAATTTTTAATGTAAGTTGGAGATACTAAAATCTAAAAGCCTAGCAAAATGTTTCCCATGTAGAGAGGATTTATTAAACATGTACTTTGTGTTCTATATGAAGAGATTTAAGAAATATTAAAAGCTTTGAAAACATGATCTGTACTGTTTGAGGAGCTTGTGATATAGTTTAATTTAAATATGAATACTTGATTTTGACTTTATCTGGCTTCTGCCTACCTACGCAGCTCTCTTTCAGATTACCTTTCTAATCGGCCTGCTCTTCTACTAACTTTACATCTTGTGACTTTTTTCTCTGCCTGAAAATTTCATTTTAGCTGTTCCAATCCCTGATTTTATTTATACTTGTTTTCAACTTAAATTTTACTGCATCAAAGAAATTTCTTTGACTGCTCAGACGTTAAGGTCCATCTCTTAGGTATTCTTACAGTGTGTCATGGCCCTATTTGTGAGCATTTCTTTCTTTATTATAACTGTACATTCACATTGCTATAATTATGTAATGATTTATGTTCTATCTTCTTTGTTTTTGTATAGGTTCCATGATGATTTTAGTGGAATAAAACGTTTCTTGAATGAATAAGCATTTGACTATTTGCCTAGAAAAGCTTCATGAAAAAACCGAAAACATTTTCTAAGTGGAAATAAGTTTGGATGGATGAGGTGAGGCTGCTTTCAGGGATTTTTGAATACACACCTGTATTAATTGAAATGATGCACCAGGGATATCTAGGTTCTTAAAACTGACATAATTAAAGGCACATGTTTTCCAAGTGTAAATTCTTTAATAGTTATTGAATGGGTGATACACAGGACAATCTGGAGTGGTGCTTCTAAAACTTGAGTATGTGACAGAATCACTGGGTAGTTTGCTAAATATGTAGATTCTATTACCCATTCTCCAGTTCTCCATTCAACCCAGTACCATAACCACTAGAAAGGAGCTCTTAGGCACTTGTAATGTGCTGGGCCAAATTGAAATGTTAAGTATCAAACGTCTAAGACAGTATTTTAAAACGTGTGTAAAAAGCTTCTGCATGGCAAAATAAACCATTATCAAAATAAAAAGGCACCCTACTGAATGGGAGAAGGTATTTGCAAATCTGGCAAGGGGTTAATATACAAAATATGAGGAACTCATACAACAGAACAATAACAAAAAATCCAATTAAAAGATGAGTGGAGTTGCTGAATAGATATTTATCCAGAAATTATATACAGATACTCAACAGACACACAAAAAGATCTTCATCACTTATTATTAGAGAAAAGCAAATCAAAGCAACCATAAGATATCACCTCATACTTGTTAGAATGACATTATCAAAATAGTAAGAAACTAATGTTGACAAGGGTGTGGAGAAAAGGAAACTCTCATACTCTATTACTGGGAATATAAATAAATACAAGCTATTCCACTTGTATTTATTTAACCAAAGAATAAGTATGAAAACACTAATTTGAAAAGAATATATGCAACCCTATATTCATTGCCGTACTTTGCAATCACAAAGATTTGGATACAACCTAAATGCCCATTGATGGATGAATTGAGTAAGAAAATTTGATATACATATATGCACATGTACATTTGAGTTTATGTGTATATATACACAATGAAATATTACTCAGCTAAAAATAAATTGCCATTTATAACAACATGGTTGGACCTTAAGGGTGTGGGGGCGTATGGTGATACGCCCTTTAGGTTCTTGGGCAGATTCAGCAAACAAATTAGTATCAGACATATGAGTAAGTGAAAGGAATAAATTTAATTACATGTGTGGAGAATTTACATGACTAAATTTTAGAGTAAGAAAGACAATCTGAAGGTTTCTATTTTTGAGCAAATGGGTAAGGGACCTAGAGTGTCAAGGAGAGAAAGGATTCACATGGCCAGGAGAGGGTGACTCATGACAAAACCAGATGCTCTAGATGTTTGCCCTGCCGTAAAAAAAAGTTTCCCTGATAAGAAAGTTGTTTCTAGAGATGACTCTAAATCTGGCTAATCTTCATACTATATGGTAATAGTAAAAGTTTTTTTGAAAGCCACAGGATCTCAATTGAACTTAGTTTCACATGACAGTGTGACACATATTGGAAATAGCCTGCTCTGGATATTTTGGGGAGGCCCTTCCTTCACGGTCAGAATGCTAAATAAAGTCAGACAGAGAAAGACAAATGCCATATGATTGTACTCACAAATGGAGTATAAAGAAATAAAAGAATAAAGAAAAAAATGCTTAGATTATGAGAGAAAGGGGGATTAAAAGAAGTATGGTGGTAGATAGGAAATAGACTTTTGGAGGGCAATATTGTGTAGTATATCTGATGTTGAGTTATAATGCTATCCAACCAAAAATAAACCTACTTAAATATTATTAACTAGTGTTAAGAAAGATTGACTGAAAACCTTGGTGATAGTTAAAGAAAAAATAAATGAAAGTTAATAAAAAATGTAAAGTATCACACTGATATTTTAAAAGGTAATTGAACATTAAAATGCAATTGGATTAAATAAAATATATTAAAGTTATTTCATTTTTATAATCCAGAACATTTAAAATTACTGTGGCTCAGGGCCTCCCTGGTGCTGCAGGCGGTTGAGCGCAGCACTGTGAAGCTGTCCGCAGCCTCTGCAGTGCAGGTTCGATCCCGACCGGCCTGGGAGATAGCCACATGGTGAGGCAGACCTTTTCTGTCTCCCCTCAGCAGTGTATTTCAGTCAGTCTGCCTGTTCTGTTCCCCACTCTGTCTCTGGTGAATCCTCTCACCCTCCCACACATCTGGCCTGTACCCCAGTTCTTGTATGCATAAATAAATAAATCTTTAAAAAAAGTAAAATTACTGTGGCTCATGCTATGTTTCTATTTAAATTACAGAAATCCCTGAAACCATAGTCTTTCTATTCAACTCTGTCTGTGTACATGTGGTATCTAGAAGATGACATGTTTTAAACAGCATCCTTACACAAATGATTCTTTTTTTTTTTAATTAATTTTGTAAGATTTATTTATTTATGCATGCAGGAACTGGGATGTAGGCCAGAGGTGGGGGTGAGTGAAATACACTGCTAAGGGGAGCAGCGGGTGAGACAGGAGAGGTCTGCCGGGCCATGTGGGTTAGCTCCATGGTTGGGGATCGAACTCATGGTGCAATAGCTGCCAATAGCTTGATTGGGCTGTCTTTAACCCATGCACGAAAAATGCAAATCCTCAGATCCCTTCTTTGAAAAGCAGTAGACTATGATAGACATTTGAGTAATGCAGGTCTAGGAGGCTGAGAGACTTGGAAACCAGAGAGGTTGAATAGGAAGTATCATATAGGAAGTATCATCAGAAAAGGATATTTGGGAATAAGAATTGAGTACCTGACTGATGAGGAGGGAGAATGTACTACAGTCTACAAATAAATCCAAAGTGCTTATCCTATAATACAAGGTAGTTTTGATCAGAACTATGAGGATGTCAGGAAGAGCTGCCCAAATTGAGCTTCTTCTATTTCTTATTTATCACAGTAATTTTTTTGTTTACAGTAATTTTTTTCCTGAAAAAAATTCAAGCTGGATGCAGAAGCAAATAAACCCATACTAAAAAGATAACCGTGAAACAGTGTGTCATAAACAAGCCTAAATTTCATATTAGGGGCCTCCCTGGTGGTGCAGCGGTGGAGCGCTGGGTTGCGAAGCTGCCCGCAGCCTCTGCAGCGCCAGTTGGATCCCCGGCCACCGGGCGAGGGTCCCACAGGGTCCCACGGGGCGCACAGACCTCTCCTGCCGCCCGCTGCTCCCCTCAGCAGTGTACTTCAGTCCTTCTGCTCTGCTCTCAGCTCTGGCTCTGGTGAATTCCCTCACCCTTCCACTCTTCTGACTGCACGCAGTGCTTGTATAAATAAATAAATAAATCAAAAAAATAAAAATAAAAAAAGAAATTGAAGCAAAAAACAGTAAAAAGAAAGAAAATTTAAGAAAATAAAACATTTCTGGTCACTGAATAATGTTAATTTCATGAGACTCTCCCAATTAGTGATTTTTGCAGAGACAAAGCACTGGCAGTTCAGAGAGGGTAGATATATGCCCCAGGTGCCAGTTGTGTTTTTTTTCACTTCCATTTTCCACTTTTGTTATTTTAAGGATTGTTGCTCATCAAATTCATAAACATGCTGTACTTTTACTGTTTTTGTTCATTTCCAGAAAACCTCAACTGCAGCATAAAGGGAGAGGGCACAAGGAAACTGATTTACTCAGTAACTTGGTGCACATAACTTATCAAGAAAGTGGGAGTTAATCCATGACTTTTATGTTACCACACAGATGGAACTGCCAGAAGATGGCACTGTTTACATGTGAAATAAGAGCTTTTAAAAATCAGTTCTAGTATCTGTGCTTCAGTTCAAAGAAAAATGAAGGAAAAGTGAATGTGGTGTTTTTTAAGCTATGCGTATATGTGGAATATGTCAGAGTGAAATACTGAATCATAATATATTGCAGAACTGCAAAATTGTTGTATACACACTTGCATATACACATAGAAAACATATATACATAATTACATTTGCATATTAATTTGTTTTTACCTGGAAAAGAAAACATTGTGTGTTAAATGAAACATGATTCTCATAGGCTTGTGTTTTCCTTCCAATTGCCAGGTGTTATTTTATTTTTGAGGCCAACATCTTGAAATAAAGCAATTTGTGCTGCTTATAAAACAGTAGGTGATACTTATCTTTATGATAATTTGAAAAAGACATGCATCTACCTAATATTGAAAAAAACCAACAATTGATACTTTATGATAAGTTGAATAGGATGTGAATTCAACTAATTGAAAAAATTCCATGTGCACATAAATATTTCATTATGTCATGAGGGAAATTTACCATTTTCTTTTTAAAAGGCTGCCATCATAAATCTTGAAGTTATTCTGTTTCTTAGATTATTTCTTATTCAATGTGAAGAGCAAAATTAAAATGAGAAATTGTGTACTCTGATCACTTAAGTTTACTTTGTAATAAAAGTTTACTCATGGATTTAAGAATTATATTGTATAATGTAAGTTTCTTACATTCCTCACCCTCCCCATTTGTGGTCCACTTCTTAAAAAAGTTCAAAAAGTGGAATCACGACCTTTTCTAAATAAGCGGTAACTTTATAATGCTAACAAATATATGTCTGTACTGCATAAATAATAGTTTTTAATAGTTCACTTGTATAACATAGGATCTTAAAATTTTATCTTTAGTAAAAAGTACTAATGTTAGTGAAAACATAGTAATAATTTCATAAATTCTTTAATGTAAAATATGGCCTGTTTCTTACCAGAAAGTATTCCTTTGTTTTATTATGATTTTACACTGATATTTTGTTACAATTTTATTTTTACAGTGATGGTCACTTGGAGCCTTTTCACGCATTACTAGATACCAAAAGGTATACTTTGAAAGGTATGTGATATCTTGTATTTAATCCTCAGAGAGTGATGATATACTCTGGATGTGTGTGACATATATACATAGACTGGGTGCTGTATTCATTTAGATTTGACAGAACAGTGTATCTAAAAACATAATTCAACTTCTAAACAACTTCTAAACAACTCAGAACAGTTTCAGATATGAAAACTGCTAACACAAAGCCTCAGGGAAGAATTAAAAAGGGAAGAATTAAAAAGGGAAGAATTAAAAAGCCATGCTTGCTATTAAGTTAATAAAGATAGGGTTAATGTGGCAAAGACTTTATACTCATATATTAAATATAATTAGCTGGTTACTTCCAAATATTTTGTATATAGAATTGTACTTATTATTGTGTAATATGTAAATATAGGTGAATTTGTTCTGCTAAACCTACCAACTAATACCATAATCAAATGCTTTTTGAATAAGTAGAAAAATATTTTTGAGCAGTTCCATAAATAAAACCAAGTATGTTAAACAAGCTATAAATTTGGGTCTCTCTCAAATATTTGTATACACCATTTTATAAACCATTTATGGAGAGAAAAATCTTTGTGAAAACAAGAAAATCACTTTCATTGTTTTCTAATGTTCTGTTTGTTAAACTTGACTTTTTCCACTGAAATAGACTTCTTATAACTTGCCTTGTGTTTGTAGCTCATTCAAACATTGGAGTAGTAGTTAAGCCATATTTATCAAGTTATAGATCAGTCATGCATATTAATTATATTATTAGTGCTGGTGTTTTCTGCTTATAAATTGAATATGACAGTGTTTCCCATTCTTAAGTAATGTAGTAACCTGTTTAACGTCAACCAATTACAGAAAGTCTTACTCCCCTCCCTTCCCCTCCCCTCCCCTTCTTTTCCCCCATAGAGGTGGCCTGCACAGTTCAGGCTTACCATGGAGAATTCTGATAAAATGATTACCTGTGTCATTCAGTTCCTAAAGGTTCTGATATATTCCATAATATTTGCTAAATTTTAATGGTTACTATTGTTTGATGCCATTTTAAGTTCAATAAAGTTTTTCTGTCCTTTTTATTTTGGTATTATGGCTAACCGATGAGCATATTAAATTTAGTGTGGGGTTGTCTTTGTGAATGAAAGGTAGGGGAAGTAGCTCCAATAACCTGTAAATTTCTTATTGCTTTATTAAGTTTTCACTCATTGTTAAATATTATAAAATTGAAAGTATTCAAAAATAAAGTCAAGTTAGTTTGATCTTTATACTCTCCTTAAAATACCAAAATATTGCTATTGGTTTCTATCTGGATAAATTGCTTTTCTAGTAATAAATTAGCTATTTCTGCATTCTCTTATAGTAACCAAGTGTCCAAAGAATAATGAATATTAAAATCTATAAAATAAAAATGTATATGGGGAGAAAAATAAGTAGAAAGAAACCTTGATCTGAAATATGGACATATGTACACACATAATATACATTTGAATCTATAATAATCTTCCTTAAAATGCATCTTTTAGTAGTTTCTCTGTATCTCGAAATTGTTCTTAAGGCTTTGAAAGTAGAAATAGTATGTAATTAATACTTAATGAAAATTGTATCAAAGTTAATAAAATACCAGTTAATAAAGCTGACTTAAATTATGACATATATTTTATGAATGATTCAGTGCTGTTGAATCACTTCTGCTTAAACACTTCTACTTGAAACCTTTTTTCTTCAGTGAAAGGACAAAAAGACAAGAGAATTCAAGTTGGGGGGTAGTAAATAGAAGTCTTTATTCTGGTGCATGGTTCCGTTTTGAAGTTCAATCAGAATAGGCAATTTTTTAAGTTTTTTATATAAAATTATAACTAACTTCATAATTGATTTTAGATTTGTTACATAAGTGGAATGTAATGTTTCTTAAAGTCTATATATTACCACTTTTTCCAAGCATGACAGATTAAGTGGATACAAAGGAGTGAACAAAAATGGGAGGGGGTCATGGGTCTGTATCTGCATGGAGAAAGAGGGCAGTACTTTTGGGGAGTGCAATTTACATGAGCATCTGCGTCTTTTGTCATGTTTTGGATGGATGACCTGAGTCTGATATAGTGGTGAATAGCATTAACAAAGGTCTGGTTGTCAAAGGCTAGGAAGAAAAATGCAATTAGCCACAGCAATGAGGTGATGTCTATGTTTGGGGGGAAAAAACGATACCTAACTGGCAATAGAAAACATTGAAATGATACTATCAGTAAAAGACCAGATTGTTTGTGCATTTGTGTGTGTGTGTATTTGTTGTGTGTGAGTATATCTATTATATAGTGAAGTTATAGTGGGATATTTAAAAATAGTTGCTGGGTATGTTTGGTTTATGTGATAAAAGTGAATATGTACTTGTTACCAAAGAAATGACATGGTGAACTCAATGAAATTGTAACTCATAACCCACTAATTTCACCAATCTGACATTTGCAATGTACTTGTTTCTATTTAAAGATTGTTTGAAATAAATAAAAGTGCTTTAGGGTCCAAAAGAAGTTTGCTCTTTTTTGGTCTAATTTTTTGTCTTTCTATAAACCTTGCCATCCAGAGTGGAGAACCATATCTAATCACCCAATTAGGTCAGGCCCCAGGATAATCAATCTCTTTAACAGCAGATGCCTTGTTTTAGCAAATGAATGGTTGGTTTCAAAAGCAGTTTTGTGCTAAGAAAGGAGTGCAGTTGGCATGGGTGATTAGAACTCTTTTAAACTCTATGAAAGCTTCTGTAGATTGTTTTATACCCACACTTTGTGAACTGAACTAAAGCTGGATATATCCATCTTAAAATGAACATGGTGGGGACTTTATACAGCCTGTGAGAACATTTATATACATATAAATGGAATTATTTGGAACCCCAAATTTTTATATCTGTTTGAATTGCACTGTGATTTTGATAAAATCTGAAACTTGCATAAATGGTTTTAATGGTGCCCTTCGTATTTATTATGTGCCTTTATAAGTATAGCTTATTGGATAGGGGGGTTTTATATTGAACAAACAACCAGCTAGCGTAATTCTCATATTTGTTGTTTGCACTACACTTAACATTTGTTTGTACATGTCTCCCTTCATATCAGGTATATTTAGAGTGCATATTTATACAATATGTAAATAGGTAATATATGAGACAATTTTGCAATTAAAAGTTAAAGGTTATAAATGCCTATTAAGTCATAACTATAGATGGACTTTATTTTGCTCACAACTCATTTAATGGAGGATATAGTGAAATACTTTTTCAGGATGGCATATCAAAAAAACTAAGCCTTCAATAAATTATTTTAGCTGATAATTGTTCAACTCTAATTGCTGGAATTCATCAGTGATGACTATAGTAATATGTGAAAGAATTCAGGTCACATACGTACCTATTTCCTTCTTTTGGAGAACAGAATACATAATTAGAGCATTGAGTTGAATGTATTTTTGATGGTAACATTTGAACTTTATTGTAAAATTGTCAGTTATACCATTTTCTCCCCTCTTGAAAATTCTTTCATTAGGCCTAGTCTGTCGAAAATTATTATTTTTCATAGTGAAGATTTAGTAGAAACCTAAGGAAAAATTAAAAGTAGATTATCTTTAAGAAACATTTGACAGTAATTACTTCTTACCTTTCAAACAACTTAAATATCCATAATATATAGTATTACATTACCTTTTTATGCAAAGTTTTAAGGCTAAATTGGTAGAGAAAGTAGAGATTCAGTAAGATAAGATTTTTTAAATAAGACGTTCTTAACAGTACCTAATACCAAAGTAGAACTGTGACAATTCACTTTTGCTTATTATAAGGTATAATGGCTCTATAATATGATTAGTAGAATCAATTCTGCCTATTAAGAACCTTAAAACTTTTACCTGGAAGCCAGTTTAATGTCCAAATCTGTTACTCAGCCTCAGTTTAGATTTAAAACTTATTTAATTATAGCCTGTATAACAGTTTACATTTGATATAAAGAGATTAACACTTATCTTTATAAAATGACTTTCTCAGATCCCAGTTATTTTCATTATCACAGTATTTTAACAGTCAATTTGCATGAAAGCAGTTTTCTAAAATGTTCAAACTGAGTTCCAATCTCTGAACCTGATTTTATTATTGCTTGAAATATTTTCCCCTCCCACCCTTCTGTAGACTCCAATAAAATGCATATTTGGCTGCTTTTAGTCATCCTACAGGTAATGAATACTCTGCTAATGCTTTCAGTCTTTTCTAATGTTTATTTCATTTTGGATCATTTCTATGGCTCTATCTTCAAGTTCATTAATCTTCTTCAATGTGTAATTGAAGAAGATTAATCCCATCCCATTTGTAATCTTAATCTCCAGGCATTCCATTTTTGGGTCACTTTTATATCGTCTGTGTTTTACTTAACATGTTCAATCTTTGCTCTAACTGATTGAACATGTGGAATATAATTATAATAATGGTTTAATGTCATTGCCTACTAATTCTATAACCTGTATCAATTATGATTGATTTTATTTGTTCATTATAGATTATATTTTCCTAGTTCTTTGTAAGCCTGCTTATCTTTTGTTTGATATAAGGCATTGTGATTTTACCTGAGGTGTTTTGTATTTTTATATTCTTTGTTTTTTAAAGATTTATTTATTTATGCATACAAGAACTGGGGTACAGGCCAGAGGTGTGGCATCGGGGGGAGCGGTTAGACGATTCACCAGGGACAGAGTGGGAACAGAACAGGCAGACTGACTGAAATACACTGCTGAGGGGAACAGTGGGCGGACAGGAGAGGTCTGCTGCACCATGTGGGTAGCTCCCTGGCCAGGGGATCGAACTTGTGCTGCAGAGGCTGTGGATAGCTTCAGAGTGCTGTGCTTAACCCCTTGCACCATCAGGGAGCCCCTATTTTTATATTCTTTTAAATATTCTTGGGCCTCCCCTGGTGGTGCAGCAATTGAGTGCTGGGCTGCGAAGCTCCCCGCAGCTTCTGCAGCGCCAGTTCTATCCCTGGCCGCCC